GCCCTGGGCTAACATCTGTTGCCAATCTTCCTCTTTTTGCTTAAGGAAGATTGCTGCTGAGCAAACATTTATGCCAATCTTCCTCTATTTTGTATGTGGGATGGTGCCTCAGCATGGCTTGATGAGCAGTGTGTAGGTCCAAGCCCAGGATCCAAACTGGCAAACCCCAGGCCACTGAAGTGGAGCATGTGAACCTAATCACTATAGCACTGGGCCAGCCCCATGGTCAATTAATTTTTGACAAGGGTGCCAAGATTATTCAATGAGGAAAGAACAGTCTCTTTAACAAACAAAGGTAGGACAACTAGGTATTCACATGCAAAAAATGAAGTTGAACTCTTACCTCACACCATAGACAAAAATTAACTCAAAATAGATCAAAGACCTAAATGTAACAACTAAAACTATAAAACTCTTAGAAGAAAACTCAGGGGTAAATCTTCATGACCTTGAAGTTGTTAACAGTTTCTTAGGTATGACCAAGAGCACAAGCAACAAAAGAAAAAATAAGACTTCAAAATGTACAACTTTTGTATGCTTGCCACTCTTATTCAACATAGTATTAGAAGTTTTGCCAGAGCAACCAGGCAAGAAAAATAAATAAAATGCATCAGGGCATCCAAATTGGAAAGAAGTAAAATTGTCACTCTTGTGGATGACATGATTCCATATATACAAAACCCTAAAGAATCCAACAAAAAACTATTAGAAATAATTAATGAATATGGTAAAGTTGCAGAGTACAAAATCAACTTACAAAAATCAGTTGCATTTCTACACACTAATAAATTAGCAGAAAAAGAAATCAAGAATACAATCCCATTTATGATCGCAACAAAAAGAATGACAGACGTACGGATAAATTTAACCAAGGAGGTGAAAGACCTATATACTGAAAACTCTAAGACATTATTGAAAGAAACCAAAGAAGACATAAAGAAATGGAAAGATTTTGTGCTTATGGATTGGAGGAATAAACACAGTTAAAAAGTCTAGATTACCTAAAGCAATCTACAGATTCAATGCAATCCCAATCAGAATCCCAACAACATTCTTCACAGAAACAGAACAAAGAACTATAAGATTTATATAGAACAACAAAAGACCCTGAATAGCCAAAGCAATCTTGTGAAGAAAGAACAAAGCTGGAGTTATCATTCTCCCTGAACTCAAAAATATACTACTAAGCTGTAGTAATTAAAACAGCATGGTACTGGCAGAAAAACAGACACAGAGATCAATGGAATAGAATTGAGGCCCAGAAATAAAAACAATGACACAACAATGGACAACTAATATTTGACAAAGGAGCCAAGAACATACAATGGAGAAAGGAAAGTCTCTTCAATAAACGGTGGTGGGAAAACTGGACAGCCACATGCAAAAGAATCAAAGTAGATCATTATCTTACACTATACACAAAAATTAACCCAAAATGGATTAAAGACTTGAATTAAGACCTGAAACCATCAAACTTCTAGAAGAAAACAGAGGCAACAGGCTCTTTGACACTGGTCTTAACAGTATCTTTTTGAATACTCTGTATCCTTTGACTAGGGAAACAAAAGAAAAAATAAACAAATGGGACTACATCAGACTAAAAAACTTCTCCACCGCAAAAGAAACCATCAACAAAACAAAAAGACAACCCACCAACTGGGAGAAAATATTTGCAAATCATATATCCAATAAGGGGTTGATTTCAAAGATATATAGAGAACTCACACAACTCAACAACAAAAAAACAAACCACTCAATTGAAAAATGGGCAGAGGATATATAAAGACATTTTTCCAAAGAAGATATATGGATAGCCAACAGGCACATGAAAAGATGTTCAACATCACTAATAGGGAAATGCAAATTAAAACCACAATGAGATATCACCTCACATCTGTCAAAATGGCTATTATTAAAAAGACAAGAAATAACAAGTGTTGGAGAGGATATGGAGAGAAGGGAACCCTCATACACTGCTGGTGGTACAGCCACTATGGAAAACAGTATGAAGATTTCTCAAAAAATTAAAAATAGAAATATCTACTGATCCAGCTATTCCACTTCTAAGTATTTATCCAAAGAACATGAAAACACTAATTGGAAAAGACATACACACCCCTATGTTCACTGCAGCATTATTCACAATAGCTGAGACTTGGAAGCAACCCGAGTGCCCACCAATGGACGAATGGTTAAAGAAGATGTGGTGTATATATATATATATCTCTCTCTACAATGGAATACTACTCAGATCTAAAAAAGATGAAATTGTGCCATCTGCAGCAAAATAGATGGACCTTGAGGGTATTACGCTAAGCGAAGTATGTCAAACAGAGAAAGACAAATGCCATATGATTTCACTCATATGTGGAAGATAAACACAGACATACATAGATAAGGAGAACAGACTGGTGGTTATCAGAGGAAAGGGGTGGGGGAGAGCAAAAGGGGTAAAGAGACACAGATCTATGGTGACATACGGCAGCTAGACTTTTGGTGATGAACACGGTGCAGTCTATACAGAAGCTGAAATATAATAATTTATAAGCTGAAATTTATACAACGTTATAAACCAATGTGACCTCAATAAAATAATTTTTTTAAAGAACAACTTTTGTATCAAAGGACATTATCAAGAAAGTGAAAAGACATCACATAGGATGGGAGACAATATTTGTAAATAATATATTTGTTAGGAATCTAGTATCCAGAATATACAAAGAATTCTAAAAACTCTACAACAAAAAGTGAAGCCAATTAAAAAATGAGCAAAGGACTTAAAAAAGACATTTTGCTAAAGAAGATATACAAACAGCCAAAGAAGCACATCATTAGCCCTTAGGGAAAGGCAATCAAAACCACAGTGAGATACAACTTCACACCCACTATAGTAAGACACAAATATATAAATAAAACATATTTTAAAATACATAATAAAAAAGAAAAAAAAAAGAAAATAGCAAATGTTGGCCAGGATGTATGTGGAGAAACTGGAATCCTCATATACTGCTGATGGGAACATAAAATGGTACAGCCATTGCAGAAAATAGTTTTGTGTTTTCTCAAAAAGCCGAACAACTATCATATGACCCAGCAATTCCATTCCTAGGTATTTACCCAAAATAACCACAAACAGTGTGCAAACAAAAACTTGTATGTGAGTGTCTATAGTGGCACTATTGACAATATTCCACCAAAAGAGGTAAACAACTTAAATGTCCATCAACTGATGAATGGATAAACAAAAGGCAGTATAGCCAAAACAATGGAATATTATTCAGCTATAAAAAAGGAATGTAGTAGTGATACATGGTACAACATGGATGAACCTTGGAAACATTATGCTAAGTGAAAGAAGCCAGACACAAAAGGCCACATATTATACAATTCCATTTAGAGCAAATATCAAGAATGGACAAACCTAGACAGACAGATAGTAGAGTAGTAGTTGTCAGGGGCTGGAGGGAGAAGGAAGTGGGCAGTAACTGTTTAATGTGTCCAGGTTTTTTTTCCTTTTCTTTTTTCTTTTTTCTTTTTTTTTTTGCTGAGGAAGATTGGCCCTGAGCTAACATCTGTTGCCAATCTTCCTCTTTTTCCTTGAGGAAGATTGGCTCTGAGCTAACATCTGTGCCAGTCTGCCTCTATTTTGTATGTGAGTCACCACCACAGCACGGCTGCTGACAAGTGGTGGAGGTCCACCCCCAGGAACTGAACCCAGGCCACTGAGGCAGAGCACGTCAAACTTAACCACTAGGCCACAGGGTCAGCCCCACAGGTTTCCTTTTGAGGTGATGAAATGTTCTGGTAGTAATTGTATAAGTCTGGAACATTTTATTATACCAAGTACACCAGGTAGCAAGGAAGTAACCAAAGAGTACTGAGGTTGTGTCAAAACGACTCAGATGCCAATTTGAAGAGCTCTCTCTGGACAAAGATGGGATACCATGACATCAATAAAGATGATAACTTCAATGATTTGAAAAACATCAAATATGTTTAAATCCATGAATATATAATAGTATTTGAAAACAAAACCAAAAAATGAATTGTCAGCACTGGAGTATGCTAATGAACATATTCATTCTTTTGAAAAACTGGTAACTGAAGAGAGAAAATTCTTTCCCGTATGAACTGTATTACAAGGAATCAAATAGTAGATATGGGGAAATTTCTCTACACAGAAGTATCCAAGCAAAAGAAATGGTAGAATTAGAGTAGTGCCATTTTGCAAATCCTATTAAATTAATGAGCTCAGGCACTGATCATCAATGACTGCTGATACCACAAAGGACAGCGAGCCTCCTGGAAGAATGAACAAATAATACATCAAGGTTTTTAGAACCAATCATAAATATTCTATTCAAATTTCTTTCAACTCAGGGTTCTACAAACTGAGCCATCCATTTCACTTACAGTCTCTAACTCAGGGGTCAGCAAACTTCTTTTGTAAAGGGACAGATGGTAAATATTTCAGGCTTTGTTGGCCATCGGTTCTCTGCAGTAACTACTCAACTTTGCCTCTGCTACCTGTTGCTAGAAATCAGCCATGACCAACAGGTAAAGAGGAGGCTTGACTTTATTTACAAAAGTAAGTGCTGGGAAGAACTTAGCTCTTGGACTGTAGTTTGCTGAGTAGTTACCTGTGCCCTAAATGATTAAGGTAGAGAAATCAATGATCCCTAATGATAAATTAAGTTTTCTCAGAAGAAAAGTTTACCTGATAATTATTATTCAACCTTCAAATCTAAATCAACAGAAGGAACAGTCAACATTATTTTCAGGCTGACCACTACTTAATTTATTTTGCTAATTTGAAAAGTGTGATAAGCATTAATCTGTTTAAGTGAGTCCAAATCCAAAAGTCTGTAATTTTCAAATTGTAATAAAGCAGATCTCTGAATAAAATAAGTTGGAAATCCAGTAGTAACTCTTTTATTTACTTGATACATAATAGCTATATACATATACAGGTAAGTATTTTAGATGGCTGGACTTTTTACCTTATCAGAAAACCAAATGAGTCTTGAATCTTCATAATATCTAAACATGCCATATTTAGGATCCAGTAATTCCCTCATGATGAGCAAGAAAAATTCTTTGCGTACCCCTCCTGCATCAACAGCATCTTCTCCAACAAATATAACCTAAAATAGCATAATGCAAACACTGAATGCAAAGAAATGAAAGCATATTCTGGAGACCCTATAATTTGGTATTAATAATGAATAAATGCTCAGCAGTTAATAGTTTAAAAAAATTCAAGAGTATATAATTTTATTTACTAAGTTTCAAAGATACACTGAAAACAAACAGAAAAACTTTAAACATATTTCCTGAATAAACGTCCTAATCATACAATAGAAAATGTCACATTACCTTGAGCGGCTTTTTGTAGTCTATATTCTTTGTTTTCCTAAGGACTTCCATTGCATCTCCTACAATATTTTCTCTGCGCACCACTAGAATTAAGCAGGGATTCACAGATTCAATCACTGGGAGAAAAAGAGAGGAGACATTCTGTCTGTGGGCCTGGTCAATAGCCATCTAGAAAACAAAAGATTAAAATTTTAATAGCAATGCTATAAAGAAGCTATTGTGACTGAATAAACTAACCCCTATGTATTAATTATAGATATGCTATAATTCCTATAATAATTCTTAGACTACTGAATTCACATAGCACCTAACAGGATTTAGTACAGCAAAAGAACTTAACTATGTTCTGAGCATAAATAATTTTAAATTTGAGTATTTTTATATTAATGTATGACAAATGATACCATTAAGTACGCATGGAACTATAATAATAGTGATAAATCTGAACACTGTTGTTTCTCAAAATGTAATTGGGATGGAGAGTGACGAGAAAAAGGAAACAGCATTAAAACAAACCTCTGAAGGGAATAAGGAACAGCCTGGCTAAGAAGGTATTATTGAAATTCTGATCTAGTAGAGTGATCACCATATGCACTCACAAACCAAGCATTTGGTTTTTACCATTTAAAGCTCTATTCTTTTCCTATGGTTTTCCCTGTGTTCTTGTTATAAAATGGAATATCCCATATTAAAAGCACCAAGTGATTAACTTACTGTTTTGACAAAGACAGCCAAAAAAGCGGTTTACTAGCTGTTACTATAGAAAACAACAAAAATATTTATTTCTTCTGTTGATGAAAATGGAAATAAAGCACATCTCTAAAATCCCCTCTAGTATTACTATTTAAATATTTGGAGGGATTTAGAATATCAAATGCATTTATTTTAAAGGAATGAAAATAGCTATCAAAATTGGATAGGCTTTCACAACATGACTAACAAAAATGTACAACTGAAATCTCACAAGGTTGTAATTTATCATAACATTAATAAAAAAAAATTGGATAGGCTTTAATTTTTTAAAGCATTTTTAGAATTATTAAGTGCCCAAGGTCTCTTCTCATATTTCTCTTAGTCCTCAGCCTCTAGATATTCAATACCAGAGGAAGAAACTCAAAAACTTTCTAATTTACAGGTTCAAATGATAAAGTGAACCTACTGTAGCCCTTCAAAGTCATAATGTAAACTAGTTTTAAAAATCTTTCATTATAAATGAAAGAACGCTCAACATAAAATGGAGGGGCTAGAGGGGAGAAAGGAGAGGGAGGAAGAGACCAACCTCAGGAAAATCTTTATTTATTACTAAAATTTTTTTCAAGGAAATTTCATATCCTCTTCCTAACAAGTGATCAAACGCCTCCTACTTTAATATCCTCACCTCTAGTCACTTCCATCTTTGCAAAAGACAACCCACAAAGGTACAAAATGTCCTCAGAGATTACCGATTATAGGCAAGTTTCAAATATTTACTTTATAAAAACATCACACAAACAATTCAAAAACCACTTTCAAATCAAATTAGTATTACATAATATTTTACCTGCATCTGTAAGACTGCATCTGTTTGTAACAGAGTAGTTTTTGCTTGGGCATCAAATACAAATGGATATGTGCAGATTGTAACAGGGATATCTGCCAACTGGAAATAAAAAATTAACTTATGAGTACAAACTGGTTTGTGACATATTACTTGTAGGTACTGTCATTTCTTGTAAAGCTGATCATATTCTTGGTTTATTTACTTGTGTGTCATTCAGGAGTCATAAATAAAACACACTGCTTATTTCAAATACAGAATTTTTACTGATAATTAGATGAGGCATACGAATAACCCCAATTCCCAATTTTAGGAGGGAACTGCATACTGAGAATCCATAAAATTATAAATAACAAGTATCTTTTGCTTAACATACGTTACTCTACGTTTCAGTGAATTAGGTTGCAAATTTATGCCAAAATTGGGGGTTCCTATGTTAAATACAGTACCCATGTCTTATATGTTAGGGCTACTACTCTAGCAACTGAGACCAATAATAAGCAATCTGCTTATTCATTCTTTTAATAGATATTTACTGTCTGCCATTAGGGTGCCAACATTATTATGAGCCCAACAATCTGTTCATTCATTTAACATACAAAATAAGCACCACTAGTAGTAGTATTCTCTGTCAATCTTTAAAGTTGGGAGAACTGATCTATTATCACCATTATCAGACATTAGTCACCTTACAGACAATTATTAATCCTAGCAAGTAATGCAGAGATTGATTTCTAAGCATTTAAAAGTGCAGAAAAATACAAAGAGCTAAGAATTACCAGTTACAGATTCTTGAAGTTGGAGGAGGATTTATTCCTACCATCCACCCAATAAGGCAATATTTTTGTGCCAGCCCTGACACAGAGCCCCTGCTATAATGGCTTCCAGAGAAGACTTAACACACCATGAAACAATCTACTTCTTTTTAAGTTAGCTTAGAAAGTTCTTTACATTAAGTCTGAATCTGAATTTCTATACATCACTTGGTTTTGAATTTTAGTCTCTATCTTGCCCCTGCAGGGAAGTGTATACAGTTCAAGTATTTCAAGTCCTCATGCTCTCCCTAGGTTGTCTTTTTTCCACGTTAAACATTCCCAGTTTTTCTAGCCATTCTGAAAATAATATGGTTTCCAGCTCTGCTCCACCCTAACTGCCTTCTTTTAAATGTATTTCAACTTGTCTAAGTATCTCTTAACTATGGCTACCAAAAACAAACAAAATAATCCAATAGTGCCCAATCAGTACAGAATACAAGACTATCAACCCTTTGTTCTCAACATATAGACAACATGCTGAGTTATATTAACCATACAGTAAATCATCATTCTTCACTGTTGTTCATATAACAATTTTTACCTCCATCCTGTATTTATGTCACTAACTAGCTACTGATGACAGAAAGTCATTTTACTACTCTGAAACACAAAAAAAACAGAGGTGATTTCTAAAGTCTCCTTTGGCTCCAAAACTCTATGATTTCATAATCCTATGTGCTACTTCTATTCGAGGATGAGGAAGCAAACAATGTTAGGCCTATAATTTAAAGCTAACTCTAAATGGTTCATTGGTTCAAGTGCTGGGAAAAAAGCAAGGCAAAGCAAAACAACAAAACCTAAAGTCTATTACAGAAGTATAAAAGAAGCATCACAACATTCCCAAGTGTTAAAAAGGGGGTTTAGAGTTGTTGATTATGTAAGGCAAAGTGCTAGAACTTTATGTATTAAAATAGTACACTAGACAAAGTGAGGAAGACGATCATATCGAAAGAGTTTATTTAATTTTATGACTATTTCAAGTATCGATTATAAGCTTAAAAACTGAAGATCTTTTACTTCTCTAATATAAAATATTTCTGCCTTATTGGGTAGGCATTGGTAGAATTTTAAAAGTTTGCTTTCTTATATTGTGAGGACAAATTATTAAATTTTATACTGGAAGACTGTAGGAGGATAGGAATTATTTTAAAGTAAGTATTATCGAAAGGCATCATATAGGTATAATGTTAACTAAAACAGAAGTTTTAATTTTCTTCAGAAAATTCCTCTGAAATGTTATATAGGGCAATTTCTATACACTCATTTTTAAAAATAATTACATATATAGCAAAGTTACACAAAAGAGGAACCTCTGGCTCTCCTATCACTTAAGACAAAACGGAGTATATCTTACTCTGAATGTGAGACTTTATTACACCAAACTTACCTCAGTTAATCCATGGTTGACATCCTAAAACAGCAGTGCAGAATGTAACAATAATGAGGAAAGAGCAATGTTAGTGTCCAAATTTAACTATTTCTATTCAAAGTAGCATTTCATATATTTTGCTACAGAATATTGAATTAATGTAGTAGACCAAAATACATCTACAACAAAATTTACCCTTTCCACATGCACCTTATAGATGTACAAATATAAGACCTTTGTTTCAGATATCTTGTGATCATAAAATTATCCTTAAACATAATGAAATTTGGTTTCAGCAACTAAGCACCCCATGTGGAGAATTTAGGTAGAAAAGAGGGAAACTAATCCTAAGCCTAACTTGGTCTTGAACTAATTTTATGGCTCAGTTTTCCCATCTGGAAAATGCAGAAAATATTCCTCAGACTTTATGACTTGGTTAATCTTGACAAAATGTTTGAAAAGTGTTTAGTAGATTAAAATGTTATATGGAAACAAAGTGAGGAAAATAAGCCACAGGTTGTTTTTATTGGGCAGAGAAACAGCAAAACATAAGGTATTTTATATTAAGGTTCTTTAACAGTGAATTAGCTTCAAATAGAAAGCACAGGATAGGGCACAGGGAATGCTAAGTAGAAAGAAGAAATGAAAAGAGAGAGATATTTATGAAGGAAATAATAACAGAAATTATAATGAAAGCTTACCACTTCATTGAACAGAAAAGTACACTTTCTTGTAGAAAACTTCCACATATGCTCAGGGTATAAAGTGCTAGAATCTCCAAAAATATGTTACCAAATTTGCAGATGGTATCTTGTATAGTGAGGAATTAATCTTATCCAAAGAGAGGTCTAGCTTTGCACTCAGCTATTGGGAGGTGACCTATAGGCCTCTGGAATGTCATGCCTCACAGGAGTGTCTTTGCCTGGGGACTCTGGGCCATACAGTTATCAATTCTGCCTCCAGAAGATCTGGAGACTAAAGGTCAGCCACATGGGCAGTATGTGACTGAGCAGCAATAAAAACTCTGGGCACCAACGCTCAGTAAGCTCCCTTGGTTGGCAATACTCTGTACTGCTACACATGGATGCTGGGAAAGTAACTCATCCCTGAGTTAACAGGGAGATGAAAAACAGAAGCTCTGCTTTTGGTACCTTTCCCAGACTCCACTCTAGGTCCTTCTTCCCTTGGCTGATTTTAATCTGTATCCTCTCCCTGTAATAAACTGTAAATGTCAGTATAATAGTTTCCAGTGAATTTTGTGAGGGTTTGTAGCAATTACTGAACTTGAGGGTGGTTTGGGGAAACCCCTCAAACTTGCAATTGGTATCAGAAGTGAGGGCAGTCTTGTGTGGACTGTTCCCTCTAACTTCATCGACAGCTAAATTCTTGGATACCTCGCGGGGAATCACCGGAGGCTTTAGGATATCACCAAAGACTTATGGTTCTCTCACTATACTGTGCTAAACAAAGCCAAAGCAGTATAAGCACAAGCAAAATATGACTCTACAAATCCTATTCTGAGATAGTTTCTTTCAAAAAAATTCAGAGTACCAAGTTATCACTACATAAGTTCCCCTACTGGCAGGGTTAACAAGAAGAATGTACTTAGAAGCTGTTCTGCAGAAAGAGCCTTTTATATTACACTCAGTTTAACTTGAAAGCAATTTAACAAGAGCATCTGAAATCCTTTTATAGTATATCTTGTGGGACATTTTTAAAGGGCTATTACTACCAAGAAAGTCTGAAAAAGCAAAGAGACACCTTTCGATATTTTCTGACTACTAATATGGCCTGCTTGATAACTATACTAGATATCAAGGGAGTCTATATCATGGGAGATGGATTTTATTCTTAAGTAAATAATACAACAATATACACAGTACTTTTTACTGCTACATGTAAATAGATAAAGGTGCTATGCATATCATTATGCATTGGGGAAGTCAATAAGATTATGTTAGAATTTACAGTGTGACTAAACCATATGAAAACAGAACATAGGTTTGTGTTGTTGTTGTTTTTGGGGTTTTTCTTGCTAAGGAAGATTTGCCCTGAGGTAACATCTGTGGCCAATCTTCCTCTAGTTATTTTCTTTTTTTTTTTGTATGTGGGTCGCCACCACAGCATGGCTGATGAGTGGTGTTAGTCTGCACTGGGGAATCTGAACCCACAAACCCTGGGCTGCTGAAGTGGAGCACGTGGAGCTTAACCACTACACCACCAGGCTGGCCCCAGAACATAGGTTTGATTGTAGAGACAGAAGTGAGGTGGAAGGAATATGAAAAATGGGACATGTGGAAAACTCGAGAAAAGAAAACAGACTAGTCATGGGCTGCATAACAATGTTTTGGTCAATGATGAACTGGACATATGACGACGGTAAGATTAGTACCGTACAACCTAGGTGTGTAGTTGGCTACACTATCTAGGTTTGTGTGAGTAAATTCTATGATGTTTGTACAACAACGAAATCACCTAACACTTTCTCAGAATGTATCCCTGTCCTTCTGGGGAATTCTACCAAACTTTCAGAGAGGATTTAATACCTATCCTTTTCAAGCTATTCCAAAATCTTAGGGAAGATGGAGCACTTCCTAACACATTCTATGAGGCCAACATCAGGCTGATACCAAAACCTGACAAGGACACCACAAAAAAAGAGAACTACAGGCCAATATCACTGATGAACATAGATGCAAAAATTCTAAACAATATTTTGGCAACCAGAATTCAGCAATTCATCAAAAGGATCATACATCATGATCAGGTGGGATTCATACCAGGGACACACGGATGGTTCAACATCCGCAAATCAATCAACGTGATATACCACATCAACAAACTGAGGAATAAAAACCACATGATCATCTCAATAGATGCAGAGAAGGCATTTGACAAGATCCAACAGCCGTTTATGATAAAAACTCTAAACAAAATGGGCATAGAAGGAAACTACCTCAACATAATAAAGGCCATATATGACAAACCCATAGCCAACATCATACTCAATGGGCAAAAACTGAACGCCATCCCCCTGAAAACAGGAACAAGACAGGGATGAACTCTAACACCACTCTTATTCAACATACTACTGGAGGTCCTGGCCAGAGCAATCAGGAAAGAAAAAGGAATAAAAGGAATGCAAATAGGGAGGGAAGAAGTGAAACTCTCGCTGTTTGCAGACGACATGATCTTATATATAGAAAACCCCAAAGAATCCATTGGAAAACTCTTAGAAGTAATCAACAACTACAGCAAAGTTGCAGAGTACAAAATCAATTTGCATAAATCAGGAGCATTTCTATACTCCAATAACGAACTAACAGAACAAGAACTCAGGAACACAATACCATTCACAATCGCAACAAAAAGAATAAAATACCTTGGGGTAAATTTAAATAAGGAAGTGAAGGACCTATATAATGAAAATTACAAGGCCTTTCTGAGAGAATTGGATGACGACATAAGGAGATGGAAAGTCATTCCATGTACATGGATTGGAAGAATAAACATTGTTAAAATGTCCGTTCTACCTAAAGCAATCTACAGATTCAACGCCATCCCAATCAGAATCCCAATGACATTCTTTACAGAATTAGAACAAAGAATCCTAAAATTCATATGGGGCAACGAAAGACCCCGAATTGCTAAAGCAATCCTGAGAAAAAAGAACAAAACGGGAGGCATCACAACCCCTGACTTCAAAACATACTACAAAGCTACAGTAATCAAAACAGCATGGTACTGGTACAAAAACAGGTGCACAGATCAATGGAACAGAATTGAAAGCCCAGAAATAAAACCACACATCTATGGACAGCTTATCTTTGACAAAGGAGCTGAGGGCATACGATGGAGAAAAGAAAGTCTTTTCAACAAATGGTGCTGGGAAAACTGGAAAGCCACATGTAAAAGAATGAAAATTGACCATTCTTTTTCACCATTCACCAAAATAAACTCAAAGTGGATCAAAGACCTAAAGGTGAGACCTGAAACCATAAGGCTTCTTAAAGAAAACGTAGGAAGTACACTCTTTGATATCAGTATTAAAAGGATCTTTTTGGACAAAATGCCTTCTCAGGGAAGGGAAACAATAGAAAGAATAAACAAAGGGGACTTCATCAGACTAAAGAGCGTCTTCAAGGCAAATGAAAACAGGATTGAAACAAAAAAACAACCCACTAACTGGGAAAAAATATTTGCAAGTCATATATCTGACAAAGGCTTAATATCCATAATATATAAAGAACTCTCACAACTCAACAACAAAACATCAAACAACCCGATCAAAAAATGGGCTGGCGACATGAACAGACATTTCTCCAAAGAAGATATACAGATGGCCAATAGGCACATGAAAAGATGCTCATCATCGCTGATCATCAGGGAAATGCAAATCAAAACTACACTAAGATATCACCTTACACCCGTTAGAATGACAAAAATATCTAAAACTAATGGTAACAAATGTTGGAGAGGTTGTGGAGAAAAAGGAACCCTCATACACTGCTGGTGGGAATGCAAACTGGTACAGCCACTATGGAAAACAGTATGGAGATTCCTCAAAAAATTAAAAATAGAACTACCATACGATCCAGCCATCCCACTACTGGGTATTTATCCAAAGAGCTTGAAGTCAGCAATCCAAAAAGTCCTATGTACCCCAATGTTCATTGCAGCATTATTTACAATAGCCAAGACATGGAAGCAACCTAAGTGCCCATCAACAGACGAATGGATAAAGAAGATGTGGTACATATATACAATGGAATACTACTCAGCTGCAAAACAGAACAAAATCATTCCATTTGCAATAACATGGATGGATCTTGAGGGAATTATGTTAAGTGAAATAAGCCAGCTAGAGAAGGATAATCTGTGTATGACTCCACTCATATGAGGAATTTAAAAACGTGGACTAAGAACAGTTTAGTGGATACCAGGGGAAAGGTGGGGTGGGGGGTGGGCACAAAGGGTGAAGTGGTGCACCTACAACATGAATGACAAACATTAATGTACAACTGAAATTTCACAAGATTGTA